CCTGTGTGACTTAGCACTTTACTGAGACCTTAACTCAAAATAAAAAACTTTATAAAGAACTGGGGATGTAGGATAGTGCAAAGGTCTGGGTTCAATCCCTCTCCCAGGGGAAAAGGAAAAAAATATATTTATTAGGAAACTATCTTGCAAAAAAATGTACCAGGTCCAACTAGTTTCACATAGGGATTCTACCAAACCTTCAAGGCCATATAGTCTTGATATTCTATAGATTATTCCAAAGTATTGAAAAGGAAGGAAAATCCAGTGACTCCTTTTATGGAGCAAGCATAACACTGATATCTAAAGCAGGTTACATAAATAAAACAGTTAAAGACAGTACAAAAACAAATCTGCAAAAGAATATAATTTCATGATTAATGATGAAAAATAATAAGATATTACCAAAAAAAAATACCATGATGTAGTACAATTTATTTTAGGAAGACAAGATTAGTTCAATATTAGGATTTTTATTATAAGAGAACTGCAAGGATAAAACCACAATTGTAGATATCTATGCACATTATCAATAATGAATGGATGCACTAGGAGAAGGAAAGTGTAAGAGGAGCCTAGACCAGTGGTAACGAACTTATGGTACACATGCCACAGTGGGCTATTTGTATCACGGATAACTTTAAAAGGTTCACCATCATGGACCCAGACCATCTTGTGATGTCCGAAAATACAGATGGGCCATAAAAGGTCAAGACATGTGAAGTAGACACTGGAGCCAACCTGAAGGAACTCTTGATAACCAAAGCTAGATCAATTTGAGCTACAAAAATAAATGATAGTATAGAACTGCAACCCATAGAATAAAATGCCCCTAAGCCTGTACTGACATAAAGTGAACAAATAAATATATGGGAGACAAGGGATACCTCTTCTTGTAGAATTCCAGTTAGTAAAATGTAGAAAGTCTGAAGGAAATGCAAAATTGCTATTAGGTAAGTACTACCACATAAATATTGCAGGCAGGATCCACAAATGAATGCTACCATTGAGGGGCACAAGTTCAAGGAGAGTTTATTGGCATAGTCTTAAAGTATCTCTTCTATGACTTTTATCAGTTATCAAAGGGAAATATTAACCTTATGGTACAGAATGCAACAAACACCACTTGAACCAAGTGCAATCAAGTTAACATCAGATATGAAACAGTCTAGCACAGCATCACTTCTGTGCTATTCATGCTAGAAAGAGTAATCTTCATTATGCAGAACTTCAGACAAAACCAGATTGGGAGACATTCTATGGAATAACTGGCCAGAACTCATTAAAAGCATCAAGAACATAAAAGACAAGGAAAGGAACTATCAGTGATAGTTAGCAGAGACCAATGAGACTTAAAAATATAGAGCAGGATCCTAGAACAGAAAAAGGAGGAAAATGGTGAGATTTGAGTAAGGTCTATAGTTTAGTATTGTATAATTCCCTGGTTTTGATCATTGTTATTATAAGAAGACAGAAAAAGGTCATAGGAAAGTTTCTCTGTAGTATTTTTTATAACTCATCTGTAAGTCTATAATCATTTCCAAATCTAAAAAGATTAAAGATGTGATAAGGTCCATTGTTTTTAAGACTGTGTTGGTAGGCATGCATGGCTAGCTGCTCTGAAGAAATAAAGACATGTAACTGATGTCTGTCCATTGATGACTAGCAAATTAATAGATTTATATATGTTTTCATAGCAATTGCCTGTAATTATTATATTAACTAATTATCTCTAATAGATTTTCTAGGTTCAAAGTGCTTTAAAATTCTAATTAGAAAATAATAGTATTTCAAGGTTATAATTCTAATAATATTCAATGAAAACAAGATAATAGGCTTTAAAATAAATAAAACACTAAATTGAAAAGATTTGTTCACAGAATTATTATAAAAACTGATAGATATTAGTTGGCTCACCCATCTTCACAAAGACAGATTTCAAGCTACGTGGCTAAATGGCTTTTTTTTTTTTCAAAAAATTTCTTATCTCTAGACTCATTTTCATTGAATTTGCCATCGTTCTTTTAGTGTAAATATTACTTAACCCCTGATGAGATCTGTGGGATAAATTTCATGACATGACTGGATGTATTAAATCACATACAGAGCTGGGCATGGTGGTGCACACCTGTAATCTCAGCACTTGAGAGGCTGAAGCAGTAGGATCACTATGAGTTCAAGGTTAGCTTGGGCTGCGTAATGAGTTCAAGGCTGGACTGAATGAATAGCAAGACCCTGCCTCAAAAAACAGTAACAGGGCCAGGGATAGCTCAGTGATTCTGCTGCCTGCCTTGCAAACTCAAGGTCACAAGTTTGATCCCCAGTACCAAAAAAACAATAACAACAAAAAAATAGAATTGCAGTATAGTACACAATTCCATTTGATTCATAAATCATGAACTATAGCTAATTAAAATTTAACTTACATTTAAGTATACTGTGTATACAGAAAATCAAATAAGTATCCCTGTAATAAAATTTGAGCTTAAATTATTAAATTTTAAGCACATTATTCAATTTTATTCACAGGTTTACTCATCTGGAAACTTACTCTACAGGAACAAAAAAATCCCATAGGTTTTTTTTTGTTTTGTTTTTTATGCTTTTAATTTAGTTTTGGTTTTTATATTTTTCAGGATGTAGTGGATACACATCCTGGCCTTACGTTCCTGAAAGATGCTCCTGAATTCCACTCCCGCTACATCACCACGGTAGGACAATCATATTTGTTGTAGTACAACTGTAATGCACCTTTTCATCTTTTGTGTGTATATACTGGTGATCAAGCCCAGGGCCTCATGACACTAGGCAAGTGCTGTAAAACAGAGCTACATCCACAGCCTGATCTTTGTGCTAACATTTACTCAGGCTAAAATGTCGAAGAAAGGATAAAATTGAATTAATGATACCTTTATTCTTATCTATTTCTCTTTTTTTATATGTCTGGTACCTCAAAGAGATCTCTTCCTTAAAATTAAAGTAATATACTCAATTCTGTCTGGATTTAAGAAGTATACTTTTGTTCTGTTATGGATATTGATATCCAGTTGAACTTTAGCATTTTCAAATAATACTGAAAATAATTTTTAACAGTTTGTCCCAGAAAAAGATGTGTGTCTAGCATCCCAAAGTTCAAACTACAATGAGAGATAGTTTGTGTAGAAAACAAGTCATGTATGAATCTAGAATAACCACAGTCCTCTGCCTTGTGAGGTTCTGTCTCTCCCTGTATCTCAGGCACAGTCATTGGCTCCATCACAGGCAGGAAATAACCATGAGTAAGAGTGCACAGGCCTGTAGTGCCCATGGCAACCATAGCATGCATTCTCTGCCCTCCCTCCCAGATTATCTTCAGGGGTACAGCGCTACCATGTTACAAAAATACTACAGTTTTTTAATTCTCCTATGGGAATTTCATTCTTTGCTTTTCTGTTGGCTCCCTTTCGTTGTTATAAAACTTCGTAGGTTTTTGTGTGAGCCAGAAGTTGTCACTGTCATCATTAATCATAACAATATATTAAATTATCTGTACTGTGGTCACCCTGGCCCAATCATGCTCATTTCTTATTTGGATTACTTCAAATTTCTGAAGTCTTTGCCTTATAGTCTACAGTCATGGCCCAAAGCAAACAAAGTTTCCTTCAAAAATAAAAGTCAGGTTATGTCATCTACCACTCAGTCAGAATAAAAGCCATAGTCCTTGCCAAGACTGTGATCTACCTACCCCATACCTTCACAGTCCTGCTTTTGAATCTGCCTTCTACTTCCCTCCCTTTCCTCCCTGTTTCTAAGACCAAACCCATGTCTGCCTCAGGTGCTTTGTTCTTCCTCTTCCTCTTCTACAGATTTCCCAAAACTGATGATCTGTCCCTTCATCCAGAAACTTTCTCAGATATTGCTTGATCACTCTGTCTTCTTGGCCACTCTTCTTTCTCTGATCCTTTCTCCACACTCTCAATTCCCTTTGTCCTGCTTTATTTTTCTTCTTTACTTTTATCAAATATTTAAATATTTGGGCCAGGGATTTAGCTCAGTGGTTCTACCACCTGCCTGGCAAGCAAAAGGTCCTGAGATCAATCCCTGGTTCCAAACAAACAGCAAAAAAGTTTTAAAATATTTATTCTCCATCTCCTTCTCTATATTAAAGTCCATGAGAGCAATGACTTTTTCTGTATTTTTCACTGTTCTGTCCTCAGGACTGTAATAGTGCCTGACATATAATAGACACACATTAAATTTTTTTGAAGCAAGACATTTATTGGTACATTTAAATATACACATTAAATGTTTATTGGATGTATAAATGAAAGTATTCTTGCTAAAAATTTCTTCATTAGCTCTGCTGTAATCCCAAAGAGAATGATTAGGTCTGGTTACAGGCTGTTCTGTAAACTCAGGGCACCTTAGCAACATAATTTAGAATCTTAAAAGTTGGGAAAGATCTTAGAAATATTAAAGTCCAGCAACCTTATATCAAATAAGAATATGCTCCTTAATATGCTCCCTAAGGAAGAATTTTTTTATTGGAATTCATTCTTTTTTTTTTTTTTTTTTTTTTTTTTTTTTTATTTTTTTTGAAATTTTTTTTTTTTTTTTTTTTTTTTTTTTTTTTGTGCCAGGATCAAACTTGGGACCTTGTGCTTACGAGACAGGTAGTGGCACCACTGCACTAAAGTCCTGGCCTGGAATTCATATTTTAAAAAATGTTAATGAACAGAAAAGTAAAACAGATAAATTTTCTTTCTCTGTTCTTTCTAGTTTGGTATTTCAGGCCAATAATGGTCTCTGCTAACCTAGCAAGTGGTCCTCAGGAAGTCTTAAGATTTTAAAGTGCAAAACCATGAAACTATTTTGTTCACCTATAATTCATATTTTTAAAAGAATTTTGTCCCCTGTTAATCACTGAATAAAATAACAACCATACTGTTGAATTAACAGAATGTAGTTATCTCTGCTATCAGTGTTTTCATGGAATTAGCATATTATCATTTACATTTGTTAAATTTACACTTTGTTAATATATGCTGCTTTATCCCTATTTCACAGAAATGAATTCATTTCTCAGAAGTAATCATTAAACTATAAAACACTTCAGATGAAATAATACAGCTACTCAAAGCAATATCATAGATAGTAAATAAGAGTCAAATGTAAACATAGAATATGAATCTGTATATACTAAGTGAATAGTTATGATAGTCTCATATTTAACACCCAAAAAAGAAAAGCACAAATAGAACAATGAATATTTGGAAATAGGATTTTATCAAACTGGTTTCCCCAGTGTCTTTTCTGTTATGAAACTTGATCAGATATTGTCATGAAGTCATTGAAATTTTGCATTATTTTAGAATACAATGAGTTTTTCTAGAAGAAATGCAAAACAAGGTCCTTCGGTATGAAGTTCACTAATTTTATAATTAAGTGTAAAATTAAACTGAAACATTATTTTCTACTCAGCTTGGGAAAACAGATAAGATCATACTACTTCTAAGGAAGTTAGAATTAATGACAAATACCTCAGAAAAGCAAAATCATTCTTTCATATGATCTAACTGAATGTTATATAATTTTAGTGGCATACAATGTGAAAGTATAATATATAGTTTGAACATCTCTAGTCCAAAAATATGAAATCCAAAATATTACAAAATACAAAAGATTGACAACTCAAAAATTTCAGATTTTGGAGCATTTCAGGTTAGAGATATTCAACCAGTAAAGTCTATGTAGATGTTCCAAAACCTAAAACACTAAAATCTGAAACATTTCTGGTATTACGGCTTGAATAAGGGATACTTAACATGGTTGGAGGTTTGGCTCAGTGGTTCAGCTGCCTGCCTGGCAATCGAGTTCGATCCCTGGTACAAAAAAAAGAGTGGGGAGGATACTTAACATGTATTACATTTACATACAGGAATACTTCAGTTACTTTAAAGTTAGAAGAAACCACTGACATGAAATATGACTCAGATATTATGTGTGGTACATACATGATGAGAAGTTGGACAACTTTTATTTTCAAACTATGTTTGAAAACCTGTGCCACAAGTCAGAGGTGGTGATGCCTGTAGTCCTAGCAACTTGGAAAGCAGAGGCAGGAGGCTCACAAGTTGGTGGTTAGCCTGGGCAGCTTAGTGAGACCTTGTCTCAAAATAAAAAATAAACAAGGGCCAGGGATTTAGCTCAGTGGTTCCACTGCCTACCTCACAAGCACAAGGACCTGAGTTCGATCCCTGGTACCAATAAATAAATAAATCAATAAAATTAAATAAGACTGAGGATATAGCTCAGCAATAGAGCACTTGCCTAGCATGGATTTAATCCCCAGTACTGTAAAAACAAAAAACAACTTGTGCTACATAAAAGACTGTTTAGGTAATATTTTATCAGTTGTTTTTAGGCTATAAAGACAGAACATGAACTAAATAATAGATTGAATCAAAAGTCCATATTATTCTTTATTTTTAGAAAGAGTTAACAAATCAGAAGCAAGCCTCTTATAATGAAAATGAAATCACAGAAAATGGCAGTGCTTCAGTTTAAAGTTTTGCGTGTTGTGCAGTGGACACCAATGAATAAAAGGCTTTGCTTGTCCAAATTCTTGTATTCCAACTTTTAAGGGGAAAGGTACTCAGATAAGTTTTTTAAATAAGCGGTGAGATTTAAAATATTTCTTTATGATACTAGTGCTGGAAGTAAAGATATTTTTGTGGCTTATTCAGATGATGTATTCAGTATGTTGATTGGCTTTAATCAATCATTCTAAGCTGAATCACTAGGATTTTAATTGTTGGGGAGCACAAAGTTCTGTACTCATATTTTCTAAGATGACAGTCCCATTTGGTAGAGACTACTCGTCACTAAGAGCTTATTATTAACTTTGTCCTTGGAATTTTTTCCGCTTAGCAGAGAAAGATATCACTTTTATTAGACACATTTTTAGTTTTCCATATTCCACAGAAGACCGCACATACTTTTCAGAGCTATATTAACCAAAGAATAACTTAGTAATCCAGTTACTATTCCTTGCCAAGTGAAAGTGAGGCTTCCAGCATTTAAGAGTATTCATCTGTACTCGGGTCATCCACAGTGGGGATTTCTGTGCCTGCATTCAGTCTCCTTTCAAAAACTATATGACACTTACAAGTGCAAGGTCTTGAGTTTGATCCCCTGTACTGGAGGGGGAAAAAACTATATGATAGAGCCACTGAATACTTCCATTTCTGGCTGCCAGTATTTGTGAGTTAGAGGTTTCCAGGTGAATTGGATGTGTAGAAGAAAGAAAACTGACTTCTGTCAAGTTAACGAACAATCTGTTAGTGAAAACTATGTTTCGTTCCTTTCACTGGTAGTAATTAATTGTCCTGATTATTATTTATTTTAAGGTTTTCTTGTATTTTAAAAATTGTGATTAATTTTAATTTGCCTAAAAATGGTAGACCAGAAGTTAGAAGAAAAAACTGTAAGTGAACCAGCAGCTACATGCTTTTACCACTAGATGGTAGCCATACCTAAATAATCTAAAATGCTGAATCAGTAATATGGAAACCAGAAAATATGCCTATGGAGCCCCTGAATAAGGAGATGTAGGCTATGGAAAAATGGAATGCAGATACATCGTTTTATAGTATTAAGTAAATAGTTTTAGCAGAGACTAAAAATAAGCAGCACCTAACTGCTCACAAATTGTTAAAGTTCTGTCAGAACTGGGCTGGGGATGTAGCTCAGTGGTTCCGGAGCCTGCCTCACAAGTGCAAGGACCTGAGTTCGATCCCCAGTACCACAAAAAAAAAAAAAAAAAAAAAGTTCTGTCAGAACAAAAACAGAAGAATAATAAAAATAAGCAAAAATGAATACAGGTTAAAGTTTTATAATTTTAGGTGTAAAAAAGCATTTCTACAAATCATACAAACATAAAACTTAGGAAGCAGAGTAAGTTAAATTTATTTTCAAAATCAAGAAAAAGAACAAGCTTGGTATGTATATTGAAATTGGTCAACTTAAGGGGCATGGAATTCTAATAAGTGAGATTCTTTATGTTTATGTATATAATTTCTGTGCTAAAAATCTTCCCTCTTTTTTATATGAACTGCCAAGCTATTGCTGAGAATACTGTTAAGTAAGACAAATTCTCTGGCCTCAGGAATCTTAGAGTCTCAGTGGGTGGGGCCAGTAGAGATGTTAGGCACCAGCTAGTCCTGGCTTTCACTTGATCCGAGAATTCTGTCAAATTCTGCCTCAGTACTTGTGAAAAGTAACCTCATGACTTCATACTAATCCAGTGCTTTTTTTTTTTTTTTTTTTTTTTTTTTTTT